TTTAGATGCCATCATAAACGAAGGGAGAAGTAATGAATAAATTCATGCTGAAAATTGTAAACAAAAGCAGAGTGAGGGAGTGGCTGGGCCAAACGCAGATTCATACACGTTTTCTCTGATGGCTGAGCAGAGAAAACGTAATGGTGTCCCTCCACCCGGCTACCACACAGGTCCACAAGTATTATTATCAGAGCACATATAAAATATGCGATAAATGCCAGACAACATGTCTACACTAACTTATATTAAGTTAGCAATAGAAATAGGCATTAAAAACACAATAAAAGGTAAAATACACACAGAGTACACTTATTAGTTTCCTTAAAATATTAATACTAATGTGTGAGAGGTGAGTGGCAGGGTGTTTATTGAATAAAATCAGAATGGCACACCATCATCCTCTAACTTGACACTTAAAGCAAGAGGCTTACAACTCCTCTTTTTATCACAGCTAACCTTAGACGCCATCGTCAAAGAGAGCCAACTAGTTCACGAAAGAGTAAATGAGAGAGAGAACGAGATACAGAGTTGAGACAATGTAAGAACACAAACTGAACAGGTAGTGGGCAATCACTTGGTCAGGCGAAATAAATGCGTATTAATATGTGTCTACTTTTAGTTCATTCACGTACGTTTGTAAGAGTTTGTAAAACATTTACCTCAATATTTTTTTATTATAATAATAATTACCTCACAATACAAATACTCTTACATTGTGTACAAGTTAGTTCAGAATAAACAAACAGCAACACACCATTTTTAGAGTGAATAAAGATATTATTATTATTATTATTATTATTATTATTATTATTATTCTTTTCAACACACCGGCCGTATCCCACCGAGGCGGGGTGGCCCAAAAGAAAAAAAAAAGTTTCTCCTTTCAAATTTAGTAATATATACAGGAGAAGGGGTTACTAGCCCCTTGCTCCCGGCATTTTAGTCGCCTCTTACAACACGCATGGCCTATGGAGGAAGAATTCTGTTCCACTTCCCCATGGAGATAAGAGGAAATAAACAAGAACAAGAACTAGAAAGAAAATAGAAGAAAACCCAGAGGGGTATGTATATATACGCTTGTACATGTATGTGTAGTGTGACCTGAGTGTAAGTAGAAGTAGCAAGACGTACCTGAAATTTTGCATGTTCATGAGACAGAAAAAAGGACACCAGTAATCCTACCATCATGTAAAACAATTACAGGCTTTCGTTTTACACTCACTTGGCAGGACGGTAGTACCTCCCTGGGTGGTTGCTGTCTACCAACCTACTACCTAGGTATTATTATTATTATTATTATTTTATTATTATTATTATTATTAAAAGCACCAAACCCACAAAGGTCGTGAATTGCTATATATAGAGTAAAGGCATATGAAAAGAATATTTTTCTACAGTTATCCCCCAGTTTGACTAGAGAAAACGTAATTCTTCCGACACTACCTACACAGCTGCTTTGTAAACAAATCTCATATTTACGTCAATTTTTATTCTTTGAGTGTATGTATCATGTTTATATGCTATGTAAAGGGTTTCATATATAATTTTGAGGAAAATATCATAGATGGATTAATGAAAATGCCTATATTAATGTAAAATAAGACATTTAGTGTGCCCAAGAGTGTTTATTATTATGTAGTATTGGTGTCATGAGTAGAGAGAGACTTAGCGATTTTAATGTGTACCTGCACACCAGCACAGTGTGTAAGTATATTTAGGTACAGGTACACATAAGTATAATTATCAGAGTACACATAAAATACACAGTAACTTTAAAACACTTGAAATTTTGGAAATTTTCCCTGACAAAATGATGTGGCAGGAAAAAGTAAAAAAAAACCGGGTGGGGCGCCCCCCGTATTTGAAAGACCACTTGCCGTAAGAAAATTTTGGTATAATTTGAATCATCGTATTAGCAGAACCTGTAAGGCGAAACCCGAAAAGGGGGCCTACTGTAATTGTATTTCTTCAGAAAAAACACTAAGGCATGTGCTTTGTGAGAAAATTTTTTTTAGGTAATACAAATAAAAGTTACATGATTATCATACATGCAATGTTTGGAGAACCTATGATAACCCAAAAAAAATCAGACTTATTTCCATTAGGGTCCCCGTCAATGTACCATATGGTAAATGTACTAATGGAATTTTACCATATGGTCCATTGTACCATATATCCTTGTACCCTATGGTACAAGGTCCAATGGTTCAAAAACCCTGAATTCTTTTTTAGCTCCCTTCCATCGCTTAAACTGTAAGTTGTGAAGAGGGAAATCAAATTCACCAGAGAGTGGTAGGGGGGTGAGGCTTCCTTTTCCCAAGCATGTGAACAAAGTACTTTGGCGGGATTCCCACAATGCCATGCGAGGTCCCGATTTTTTTTTTATGCGCACACGCCACCCCGCTCATTCTCTCAGATGTAGGCCTACCAGCCTTCTCACCTTAATTTACGCCGCTAGAATTTGGGTGATCTACGTTTTTTTTGGGCCCTCAAAATAAAGCCGTAGATCTATGGACCCCAAAAGGGGTTAAAATGTCCAAACATAGTCGAGTTCAATTTTACATTGTTTTTTTGTGAAAAAAAACTAGATCTTGTTGTGAGCGTTACGCACCAAACGTAGATCTAATTTGGACAATTTAAGGGTTAAGCTGGTGTAAGATGAGTGTCACTCCACTGCTGACAGTGCAGCAGTGGAGTGACATTTGATGATAGTGCACTGCTTTGGCTTTGTTTTCACTGTTACATATAAACATTGTCTGTCTGTTTTTCTGTCAGTCCATCTGTCCATCTGTCTGTCTACTTCTCTATTTATCTCTGTCTCTGCTTATCTGTCTTTCTGTCTCTCTGCTTGTTCTCTTTCTGTCTCAGAGAGAGCAACTCATGAACCAACAGGTATTACACATGATGCAGAGTAGGAGTAGTCATGTCTGATTCCTGAACAAGTAAAAATGCATACAGTGGACCCCCGGTTAATGATATTTTTTCATTCCAGAAGTATGTTCAGGTGCCAGTACTGACCGAATTTGTTCCCATAAGGAATATTGTGAAGTAGATTAGTCCATTTCAGACCCCCAAACATACACGTACAAGCGCACTTACATAAATACACTTACATAATTGGTCGCATTGGGAGGTGATCGTTAAGCGGGGGTCCACTGTATTACCTGCCAATCACGCTTATTATGCATTATATCTACAAGCACAGTACAGCACTTTGTCTGGATTTTTTGGGTTATCCTAGGTAATTTACACTATGTATAATTGTATTTATATGTACTTGTGAGAGAGAGACATAGACAGAGAAAGAGGTAGACAGAGACAGACAGTCAGATTGAGACAGATAGATACAGCCAATCAGCCAGCCACCTAGTCAGCTGGCCAGCCAGGCGGCCAACCAGCAGGTCAACCAACCTGCTGAATACGTATTACACGTTCCAGAATTGTTTCTCTTTACTTAGGGTATAGGTTATAGGATGTTCTGGCAGGATGACACTACCTTGATAATAACCCATGTTGCACATGGGTTATTATCAAGGTTTTTTTTCATATTTCCTCATCCACTTGTGGGCACATCCACCTCAAAGCCACTAAACTTGGGGTCAACATCACTTTCCTCTTAAAATGGGAGTCTTAATGCGACATGACACCAGTGAATCCCTGGTGTTTGCCGTGCTGTTTCCTCTAACCGGTGCTCAACTGAACTGGTGCTCCCACAAGGTACTAAGTAGTCCCAGATCTTTTTAATACTGCACACACCGACTGTTAAGACCCATTCTGTGTTGACCAGGCATCTCAGGCTAATCGTGCCAAATTTGGAGGCAGGAAAAATAAAACAGTAATCTATGTTTGGAGCGCTAGCAGTAACAACGTAGATCTACGTTTGGACAATTAAGGGGTTAAGGACTGGGCCGTGGGTGCATTGGCCCTCGGAACGACCTCCAGGTAGACCTTTCAGACAAAAGAAATGCACAGGCCTATTATCAAAACTTTAACTTTTTTAGGGAACTTTTCATAAGGAAGCAGCATCAGCATGCCAAACAAATGAAGCTGGATTCATTCTTTAAAGATTTTCCTCATTCTACTTCTCCCAAATCATCTACCAGCATGCCTGAGCCATCTATGTCTTCTGAACTATTTACATTTCCCACACTATCTACCTCTGTCTCCCATACCATGAGTGATGTTGTGATGTTACTGTGGAACTCTACAGCTCCTTTTTCTTTTCAGGTACAGGTACTGTACAGTGTTGTTGTGTAATATTGTACTCTAGTTTATTCTTAGTGTGTACAGTAATCTCATCAATACAATGGACTAAGTCTGTCTGTGTTTTATTGGGCATTTGTTCATGTCCAGTAGTTGATCATTTAAGTGGACTACATCCTCTTAATTGAAAATTTTAATATAATGGGTTTTCATTACAGCATACATCTCTTTTCCCTTATTAGTTTGTCTTGTAAAGGTTTCACTGTACTTACCAGATAGAGGTTCCTATTCGAGGAGAAGTATGCTGAAGGGTTGGAGGAAGGGGGAGGGGGAGTTAGGTAAAGTGAAGAAAGGACGACAAGTATGTAAGAAAAATTGATAGTGTTAATTTGATTAGGCAAAATTGAAGGAGTTATGCAAGAGATAGAGAGGAAGGAATAATATCATTTGCTTACAGTGATGTGATACTTGGACAGGCAGCAAATTCTACAGTCATGTTTTCATGCGATTTCTCATGAATTCTCAAGAGCCAAACAGCAACAACAACAAAGCTTATGGAGTTAGTTTTGGTCTGTTGAGGAGCAGCTTATAACCCTAGCAAGCTGGCCACATATTGCATGCATTCATTTGTTGGTCACAGTTGCCTGGCAGGAGTAATCATTATATGAGCAAAGACACTCATTCTACTAGACATGTTCCAGGTTTGCTCTTGGTCATTTTTTAAAATTAGATTCCACAAAGGTCAGTCAACTTAAGTATTTTTTGTATTACTGTGCACTTATATTTTTTCATTTCAGATGATGCTTGTGTCAATGGTCACAGGTGTGAAGAATGTGGGGAAATTATCCAGTTTAAACGTGATTACATCCGTCATCTCCGTCAGAAACATAACCTTCGACCATTTGAATGTGATCAGTGTGGCAAGACTTGTACATCTCATATAGCTCTGGAAGCTCATCACAAAGTACATGGATTAGAGAGGCCACACCGTTGCGATTACTGCGGTAAAGGCTTTGTTGATCCATCACATCTTAAAACACACATTCTTACACACACAGGAGAGAGACCTCATAGTTGCCAGCATTGCTTCAAAGCATTTGCACAAGCATCACAACTAAAAAAACATTTAGCTATACATGAAGAGAGCTTCCAATACAAATGTTCGGTGTGCTACCGAAATTTTGCTCACCGTGATACACTCTACACTCACATGAAGACACACACTTCAGATCGCCCGTTTATATGTGACATTTGTACTCTTAGCTTTGTTACTAGCAGTGGTCTCAACCGGCACAGAAAAGTTCACAAAAGATCTAGTGACCCTGTTGGAGGCCTTGAGGATGAACTAAAGTGCAGTGTGTGTCAAGCCAACTTCACCTATAAAAGAACTCTGACTAAGCATATGTCCACTGTGCATGATGATGGCCTCATAGTCAAAGAGGAAGATGAAGGTGCTGTGAAACCATTTTCAGATGAATTTCCATTGTTGAACAGCTTCAGGAACAGCTCAATGAAGGTTATGCACCAAAAACTTCTGAACTGTATGATGAACCTAAGCAGTCAGAAACTCTTGAGAGCAAATTTCCCACAAATCCATTCAAGTGTGGTATATGTGAAGAGTCATTCACAGATGTTGATGTGCTATGTGATCACTACACCAATTCTCACACTGGTGATCAGGAAGTGTACTGTGATGTATGTAGTGTAGGTTGTGCTACGGAACAACAGCTTGAGCAGCACAAACAGCTCCATCTTTTTGAAGAACAACAGAGTATAATACACATTATGCCAACAGATGAATTTCCATTTGTGTGTCCAATTTGTGGAAAAAACTTCAGGAAGCATCAAGAGTTTGCACGGCATCAAAGAGGACACACACAAGAAAAAAACTACAAATGTGATCTTTGTGATGCTGGTTTTCCACTGAAGTCAGCCTTAGATAAACATGTTTTAGTTCATACTGGTGAAAGACCCTTTAAGTGTGACATCTGTTTAAAGAGTTTTCGACAAAGTGCAGCACTTGTTAGGCACAAATTGTGGACCCACAGATTAAAAAACCAAAATAAGTGTGAGTTATGTGGTAAAACTTTCTTCACCCCTGCCCTTCTCAGATATCACCTTGATAGTCATGGTGATGCAGGGCTCTCTGTGAAATCTCGTTTAGCAGAAATATCAGAAACTGAAGAACAGCAATTAGTAGACCAACGGTGTGATATTAAACAGGAGGATAGAGGAGATATGGAAGTATGTGAGGATGTCAGAGATGGAAAGCAGTATAACTGCAAGTACTGTGGTAAGTATTTCCCAACTTATGTCTCACTCCTTACTCACAAACTAACTCATAAATTGTCAGCATCATATAAATGTGATGTGTGCCACCGTACCTTTCGAGAGAAAAGGTACCTACAGAAACATAAACTAACTCACAAAGGAGTCAAAAGTTGGAAATGTGACATTTGTATGAAAGCTTTTGCCACAAAGCTTACTCTGATTAGGCACTCTCATGTGCATCTGCGTGAAGCTCTTCGCCCAGGTCCTGAGTTTGCATTTATTCCTGAAGAAGGAGAGGATGGTGGGGAGATGATTCTTGGAAGTACACTTCCCACAGTCCTCAAGTGTGATGAATGTGGCATTGATTTTGCTCATAAGAGTCATTTTGTTCGCCATAAACTTTTGCACTCTGGCACTCCACTTCTAAAGTGTGGCTTGTGCAATAAATTGTTTGTGCATAAGAGTGACATTATTCGGCATAAGGTCATGCACTCGTTTATGTTTACCTGTGATGTGTGTGGACGTAACTTTCACAAGCGATCACTGTTTATTATGCACAAGAAGAAACATATAGATGATAAGCCATTTAAATGTGAGTGTGGTAAAAGCTTTTCTACAAGTGGCAATTACAATACTCATAAGCGTATTCATAGTGGTGAGAAACCATACAAATGTGACATGTGTGAGTACAGGTGTTCACAGAGTGGTCGTCTTTTAAAGCATAAAAGAATGCATAGCGGAGAAAAACCATATCAATGTGAAACTTGTGGCAAGTATTTTGCTAACCATGAATCAGTCAAAATACATATGAGAATTCATTCTGGAGAAAGACCATTCAAGTGTGGTAACTGTGGTAAGACTTTTATAAATAACAGCAGCCTCAATCTGCACATGCGGGATCACATTCGAGAAGAAATGTTCAAATGTGATGTGTGCCAGCACAAATTTCGGCGAGAACATCATCTGGAAAAACACAGACAATTTCACAACCTTCAACAGCAATATCAGAATGCCAATATGGGTCTTGAGACAGATGGTAATGTGGAGACCCATCTTTATATGTGTGACACATGTGGAAGAGTATTTGATAAGAAAAAGTACCTTTACACTCATCACAATGTCCACTCTCGTCAACGCAACTTCCATTGCAGTTTTTGTGGGAAGCAACTGGCATCACGTCTTGCACTGAAGAATCACAATTTAATTCATACAGGAGAAATGCCCTTCAAGTGTAGTCAGTGCAAAAAAGAATTTCGTAGTTCTTCCAACCTTAAGCGTCACGAACGTTCACATCCCATCCCGGATGCATGCACTTTGAGATGTGATGTATGTGATGAGAGCTTTTATACTTCAGAGGTTCTGAATCAACATAAAGCAAGCCATATGCAAGGCATGATGATAATGAACCCTGGGGTAGAAACTGTATCAACAGCAGATAATTCTCATCATTTGTATGTTTTTGAAACTGTGGGAGGAGTCAGTGAAGCAATGGATTCTACCCAACAGCTTTTAGTTGATAATAGTCAACAACAGTTTTTAGTTGATAGTTCACAGCCACTTTTAGTCTTTCCTGAAGCAGCCAATACACCATATTCTGATCTTGCAGAGGCACAAGACCATGAGCAAGAGCAGGCTGAAGCCGAACATGTGCCTCAGTCAGAAGTTATTATGGTGCATGAAAAAATGGAAGAGCAAGAGGAGGAGGAGAGGGTTGTTTTAAAGCCATTTACATGTGATGACTGTGGTAAATCTTTTGCTAAGAAGCAATATTTGACAAAACATAAATATAGACACAGAGAGGTTAAGCCACATGCATGTGATGTATGTGGGAAACGATTTGCACAGAAGTTTGAGGTTGCTGTACACAAAATCAAACACACAGGAGAGCGTCCCTACCAGTGTGATATATGTCGTAAACCATTCCGTAGTAAAGTGAATCTCCTTAATCATAAGATGCGTCACACTGGAGAGTATCCCTTTTTGTGTTCTGTATGTAGTAAGGGCTTCACCACACAGCTACAGCTGGAGCGGCATGTAACACTTCATACTGGTTCACATCCATATAAGTGTAGTATATGTCAGAAAGGTTATACTCAGCGCACTACTCTGGTGAAACACTTGGCTAAGGTTCATGAAATTTTAGATGTTTCACAGATTGAAGCAATGAACTCTCTGGAAAATGCAGAAGCAGTTGAAAACATGGAAGGTATGGAAGAGGTGGATAGATCTGTACTCTCGAATGTCCCTGATTCTGCCATAGATAGAAGTGATCAGGCAACTGCAGAAGAAGCATCACATGCTGCAATAACTATGGATGCTGATTTACTAGGAAATCAAGAGCCACAGACAGCATATTCTGTGGTGGAAGTTCACCCAGATTACCTGAAGGACTACTTGCTTAGTGGACCACAAGTAGTATCCACTCAGGACATGGATCCTAAGATCTTACATTTTCTGCAAAAAATTTCCAGTACCATTAGTGATTCTACCATCACAGATGGTCAGACTGTTGTTCATGTAAATACAATCAGTGACTAGGGCAGTGCAACTGATTTGTAAATAAAGATTCAATTTTATCAAGTTTTTCAATACGTTGCATATACACTTTCTGGAGAAATTTCAAGTAGGCAAGCAAGAATTATGGGATGCCTTTAAAAGTTTTTGAGTCATGAATTCTACCCCTTTAAAAATGTTATAGTACTCATTTCAAAAAATTTTCCAATTTGGTAGTATGTATTTTAAATTTTTGTATACACAGTTAACTCTTGTATTACAAATTTTTTGCTCATGGTGTTGATGTAAGGCGTTAAATTTGTAAAATTTAAAATTTTCCCTTTAGACAGCCCAAGAGCATCATGTTTGTGAATCATCAGAAGGTTTTTTTTTTTACAAAAGCAAATTTGAAGATAATAATGTTATAGTTTTAATAGCAAACCCCTTTTTTTTTTTGGGGTCTTTGTTTCCAAAAGAAATTTGTGTTTGGGTTCCCTGGGGGGGGGATTTAACGTGGAACTGGGGTTTTCTTTGGGAATTGGGTTTTCCGGTAATTTTATGTGGAAGGTTGGGGGGTGGGGTTTGGGGTGGGCTTTTTTTTGGGGGGGTGGGTTGGTTGGGAATTATTGATGGGCGTGGGGGGGGGTGTTGGGGTGTTGTTTGTGGGTGGTCCCATTAATATATAGAAGGAAAAAGAAAAAATATATAATAATATAGGAAGGTATAGAAAGGATATAAAAATGATATAGAGAAGGAATATGAAAGGATATTTAATATAGAGAAGGAAAATAGAAGGATATATAATAAATATAGGAAGGGAAAATAGAAAGGTATATAAAAATATAGAGAAGGAAAATAGAAGGATAGTCACTCAGTGCATTACAGAATTTCCAAAAGGTATTTGAAAATGCCCTTCCTCTTCACAAAGCATTGCTAGCCAAAATTAAAAGGCCTTATGGTATAGGATACACAAAGCTCTATGTCTGGATAAGATGAGTGGCTCACACCAAGGAAAAGCAGCACTGAAAGCCAGTATAGAGGTGTCTAACTTGGCTTGAAAATAAGAGTGTGAGGTTCTCAGGGTGGATCAGTTCTAGCCAGATCCTCTACACTGTTTACTCATAACATTATCTCAGGATAGGCGAGTATTCAAGAGATAGCCAAAATTTGCTGAGTCATTGTTGGGGGAAAGTGCAGCATCCACAGCAGCTTGGGTTGAATATCCAGTGTGATGTGGATAGGGTAGTACAGTGGACCCCCCCCCGGTTAACGAACAACTTTTTTCATTACAGTAGTATGTTCAGGTGCCGTACTGACCGAATTTTTTCTCATAAGGAATACGTGGACCCCCGATAGCGAAACTTATCCCGTGCAAGAGAGGCTGGTCCGATTATTATGCAGAAGGCTTTCGCTCATGCGAATTAATTTTCACCATAAGAAAATAATGGAAATAAAATTAATGCCGTGCAATGCAAGTCACCCAAAAATATGAGAAAAATTATTTTTTTTTACCACAAAAAAATGATTTAATTTTAGTACACACTATCTGAAAAAAAAGGAATGCACATATTTCTGACACTTATTTTATTGAAGATCTGGGGATGATTGATGGGAAGGGAGGAGGGGAGAGAGAGTGTTGTGTTTAGAAGGGGAATCCCCTTCCATAACACTTGAGGTGGCATGTCCTTTTCCGGGGTTACTTCCCTTATTCTTTTAATGCACTAGGACCAGCTTGAGAGTCACTGGACATTCTTTCTGTCCATTAGAAGCTCTTGTACTCCTCGTTCCTTTACGAATTTGTTAAAATGGTCCAAAACATTGTATTGAAAAATAGTCACCAGCAGCCTTGCAATGCAGCTGTGTCAGGGAGATTTTCTATCCATAAAGGTTTGCCAGTTCAACCCACTGTGCACACATTTCCTTAATTTTTTGAAGTAGGCACAT